ATATTATATTATATTATATTATAGTACATATTTTCTTATATTTTATGTTTCGTTGTAAGATATGATAATGTATAATATACAAATATATTAAATATTATAATACAGTGTATAATATAATATCATGTATACTACATGTATACTATCATTACGTGCAGAGGCAGAAAAGTGTAGTCGGTGCCTTGGCCCTTGATTTTCGCCATCTGCTCTTGGATCTGACGCTGGAACATTGCCGCCCTTTTCGCCTGCACTGGGAGACACGGGCTGTCAGAGGCGCTGCTTCGGGGTGGAGCAGGCCTTTTCAAGGGCTTCTCGGGCAGCTTGTGCTGCAGCCGACAGGTCCTCCGGTCACATGAAGGATCCGAGCTCCATTGCCACACACAGTATAAGCGGAACTTTGCAGTATGTCACTACGAAAGACCGAGTTGAAACGTCACAGGGCACTCGGAGCCACTGGAACGCTTCTGTCCAGCGATGCCCCGGCACCAGGCGTGGCTCCCCTGAAATGGCAGAGCGTGAACAAGGCGGAGTTCAAGCCAAGAAAGACATGGCAACACATGGCAAGGCAGCATCCCAGGCTGCACTGGCAGAAGACCCAGAGCTGCGGTGTCCATGCCTGGCGGCAACTCAGGTGCAGGGTGCAAGTTTGGCCTCGCAAACATTTGGGAGTTGCTCATCAATGGTGCAAGTGCCAGGTCATCAGCGCTCGGCATAGGCGGAGCTTCTGGTTCCTGTCAAAGGAGAACAACTCTCGCCTCCACGATGTTGAGCCAATTCATATGGCATGAACGGTGCCTGACCCCATCGATTGCGCCGCTGGCGCTTTGGCTTCGGATCCTCTTTGACGGCGTCAAGGTCCTCAAAAATGGGTGTCGGATCCACCAGTGAGCCTGGATCAGCGCCGAACAAAACATTCCGCCTCCACGACTTCCGCAGCCTCAACATCGGTCGGCTTCTCGACCTCTGCCGTGTCTCCGTTCTCGCCCTGGAGCTTGTGGCACACACACACACACACATCGAGAACAGATTTCATAAACAACATTCTACCTAACGCCGAGGCCAGCACTTCTTCAGTCATCTGGCAAAGCTTTCCTGCTGGGCGCAGCTCTCTAGGCCAGCCGCAGGTTCTGGACCTCAACAGACGAAAGAGAAGACAGGTCAAGGCACAAGACTGCCACGAGGCCGCGGCGGTTGCGCCAAACCGTCAACAACGCTTGCGACCCGAAAACAAGCCGAAATGTCGACCCACAGACCGGTTCAACTGGCACACACACACACACACACACATTCGGGATTGACTCCAAGCTGCAAGTGACCCAGAGAACGGAACGACACAAATCGGAGGCCGAAGATGCCAATACGCGTCAGTCATCGAAAATGCTTTGCCGCTGAGACCTTTTCCCGTCGGATTCCTGCCCTTTGCATTCCGGTAGTGTACAGGCTCTCTGTAGCTTGGGTTCTTCATCTGGGCATGCCTCAACAAACAAGTCCTATTTGATGGAACAGATTGGCAATTCTTGAGTGCAACCAATGAGACGCGTCCATGTCAACAGCCACAGATGCCCTACAATAAGGAACACATCTACTGCTCTGACGCAACTGCTACATGGAGATAGCAGGTTCCAGGTGAGACTGACGTACTCATGCAAGCGGCAGAGTACCTGAGCCGCACATTCAACGCTCGGATCACATCGACGTGCATTGCTCGAAACTCTATGAAAACTGATGAGATTTGCTAAACCTCGAGAATAAAGCAATACAACTTATCAGCCCTGCACCTGAGGCTTCGACTATGCAACGGAGATTCGTAAACAGCACGCCTGAGGTCTGCGAGGCCGAAGCACCTAAAGCTAGACTTCCGCAAACCTGGATTCATAAGCGCCAGGTAGCTCTCCTCATGCCATACCGAGATATGTCGTTGCACAACAGAAAGGCATGTCTTCTGGAAACTCGAGGTATCGAGCAGTCGGCTGGCCTCGAAAGGCTCAGGAGGAGGAACTTTATGCCTTGCGCAGCATGCTTTCGTCCGCCCCTCTTCTTCAAGCGGAGTCATGCGAAACCCCTATCATAGGAGATGCCGGACTTCTGTGCAGCCGCCCGTGCCAAAACATTCGGAAGAAAAGTGGCGGTAGCTGGCACATGGCTAGCAAGAACCCTGCTCTGACCCAGTCTTTCTGCGGCCTGGCTTTTGACAGCCTCAGTTCTTAGTGCAGGCGCCGCAGAGGATCACAAATCATCATGCTGCAGGTGGAAATGCAACTTCTGCTGAGAGCGGCGCCCATTTCATCTTTGGGGCCTTGCCATCAGCTCCGCCTTTCCTGTCCCGGTGTGAGCTTGAGTCACATGCCGGATTTCAAGAAAATTATGGCACTCTGGCACTCTCAAAGTCGCCTGCAGACCCGCGCGGCTACAGGCAAACGCAAGGCTTTCGGATCCGCGGCCGCCTTCTGCCTTCTTCGTCACCAGGTGCCGCATCAGCCCCCGGAGGGGCGACGACAGGAGCTGCCCGCCCTGCGGCCTCAAAGGGAGATGTTGTAGGTTTTTCCAACCCAAATCACAACTACCACTCCTTAAGCATGAGTCATGTTTTGAAGGCTTTGTCTAAACCCCGAGGCAACATACGCTGTAAAAGATGAACCCATGCACGATTTGCAAACACACATCTCCAAATAAAAGCACCTGAAAGTACCGACATGACGCCTACGAAAGCTCGTCACAGCAACACTTCTGAATAAGACAATGTGAAACAACGCTTGAAGCACAACTCCTGCGAAGATTGTCTTAAATCGAATCGAAATCCCAATCTGCGGAAACCTCCTAAACCAACACCCATCTCCAAGAAACACTGCATGTGGCAGCGCTTCAAAGGCGTGTCCAGGATCGGCAAAAACAGACGTGCACGTTGGCAACCACGGACTCTCTCGTCTTTCAGATGGGTTCGAGAACCGCCAACGAGCCACCACTGGGAGGGGAGCCCAAACCCTAAACCCTAAACAGAAGCCCAAGAAGTGGTCGAAGCTCGTCAGGCATACCTTGAGCCCACGAGCAGGGCTCTCGTGTTTTTCTTTCGTTCTTTCATTATTTTTCTGTAGTCATTTCGTGCTTTGCTTGTTTATTAATTCGTGTCTTTCGTTACTTTCTTTCGTTCTGTAAGCCTTTCATTATTTGTGCGCTTCTTTCTTTCGTTTGTGCGTTCTTCGTGGTTGTGTTTGTTTCTGCATGTCGGCAATTATGTGTTTATTGCGATATTATTTCCGTAGTCCTGGCGTGTTTGTATTTATTTCGTTCTCTCTTTCCAGATGTCGTGCTGCTCAAGGATGGATGAACATCTCTGGCTCGATTGATTAAGATCCAAATCCCAAGTCGCGAATGACTGGGTTGGAGATGAAGCTACGGTTCTGTCAAATCTTGAGCGATGCACATAGCTGCCGATTCAACACACCCTCAAGCAAGACTGGGGACAGCAGAGGGTCTTGAAAGCGAAACCCTGAACGGGTGAACCGCGGCGTGGGGTGGGGTGGATTTATGTCGAGAACGAGGCGCAAGGATGAAACGCCGGGGTGCACTGCCACGTTCCCAATCACGCACTCCAAGACCACGGCACAAAGGTGCCAAACCCTGCAACCCCTGCCCCCAAACCGAAATGCGCAAGCCTCCACCTACGCCCGAATCCTTGCAACCCTCACGTCCATAGCATCCTAAGCTGCACGAAGCGCCTGCCACGGCAGGGGCTCATCTTGCCAGGAGCTCGGCGGGGGTGGCCTGGGGGCCTCTGGTCAGATTGCGCTTGTCGGAGCGTGGTTCGTGACTAGGCTTCCCGAAAACCCGGAGTCCCACCGCAAAGCAACCACTACCTGGATCTCCCTCTGAATTTTGAGGACGCGGAGCAGCACGGCCGGTTTCTAATCCTTTGGGGCGAGGAGGGGTTGCTGCAGGGCCTGCACCGCCTTGCCCCCCTTGCCGAACTTGCCCTGCGGGAGCTCCTGAAATTCATCAATGCGCTCAAGGAGGAGCCTGAGTTCGAGATAACGCCCGAGCTGGCTTGACATCCCTCAAAAATCCGCAACCCACAGAGCCGTCATGAGCGCTGCTTCTCCCCTTCTACGCACATCCGATCCCGACCAAGGCACTAAGTTCCTAAGCTAAAGCTCCTCAACATACTCGTCGCTCCACTTTCCGGTGCTCCTGGCACATCTATCGGATCGCCCTCAACCCTGCCGCCGGGTGACCGGACTCCGGGGCAGGACTGTCGACATCATGTTCCATGCTTAGGTTGTCAACACTCTGGTATGGCTTGCAGTGATTGCGATTCCTTCGTAACCTCGTATGCAAATCTCCGAGGCACTGGCTTTCCCGGGCCTTTGCCTGTCTTCGCCTTGCCCTTGCCTGGCTCGAGATGAGCTCTGTACAGAGCTTTGATACCCAACACCGTGCCCACCCGACGGTTTGGAAAATGTTGACCCTTCAATCCAAGGCAAGCGAAAACACAGAAATACGAGACAGGAAGCTGGCCTTGCTCTTCTTTCCCTTTGTTCTTTCCCCTTGGTATTACAAGCTCTGCAAGCAAGCACGACATGTAGATACCTTGCGAGTAAACTTCTGAATCGTGCGAACATCCGGCCTCGGACCTCTGACTGCAAACACCACGCCGACTTGCTCCGCATGTGCGCTGAAACCGACTCAGTACGCAGTTGCCATCTGGATGCCCCGACGATGCGAACACTACTTCGACATGCGACACTGCCCCAATCGAAAGCAACCACCTACATGAACGACCTAGATCGTACGCCCTCACCACCAGAGCCTCATGTAAACACCGACTTAAGCACTAAGCCTTTGCACCTCAGCACCGAAACCCCCAAACCCATACATACGCTTTGAACCCTGAAGCCTGAAGCCTAGAGACCCGAACTCATTCACTTCAATTGCACCCCTGAATGCTCCACACGCCAACAGCCTGGGGCTCTGGACTTACCTTGCTCCCCCCAGCCATCCGGTCGTCTGATTGCCTACAGTGATGACAAGACAAGGCGTGGACTTTGGGGGATGCAGGCTGTCCCGCAAAGGTCTGTTATGCTAGTCTTACAGTTCTTACATAGCCGTCCTTCCGGGAGTGTTACTGATATTCCTGCTTATTCCTGTTATGAATGCTGTTCCCGGCTGGCAATATTGTGTTTAGCATCTCAGGCAGGTACAAAGTGGCAAGAATCCGTAGTGTTAGTCTAGTAGTCGTCGTCGGCGTCATCGTCGTAGTAGTCAAAGCAGACGCACAGGTCCAGTGTACTCGCATCTTCCCGCGATTGCTACTGCTAGTGTCTGGTTCGTGCTAGCTTGTAGCATGAAGCATTGGCTACCATAAATTGAAAACACCAAGACGGCGCGACAAGCGACGGAACGACGCTGGGTTTGTGCTCTCGTCTCTCGACCAACAGGAACCAATTTTGGCCGACCGCAGACTCAGCGCCTCCAGACCGTTGGCAGGCAGAACGAGTGGAGGCTGCTTGAAGCGAGATCCCCACGGCTTCCAGAAGCCTGATCAACAGCGAATGAAACAATTCCGGGTCCGTCGAAACCGCTCCTTTTCAAATCTCCTAGACTAGAGTTGAGGCAGTGACGCATGGAGTTTCCGTGAAGCATCACAAGAAACCGTCCCGGACTCAAAACTGCACTGAACCAAAGACTGACTGAGCCTGGGCCCTGCAGCCCGTACTGCAACGGCTGCATGAGAGGCACCTCGAACACCAACAAAGAAATCTTGGGTGGCCAATGGGGGTGATGGATGCAAGGACCAAGGGTTGGTCAGCCGGCCACGCACTTACTTCACCAACTAGTATGCGAAAGAAAGTCCATTTTTGGGGGTGGCCCTATGCAACTCTCACGCAGTAACTCCTAATGTACAGTGTGTGAGTAGATTGAAAAGGAGTTAGCTGTGAGGAGTGTCTTGCACGTTGGCAGCCTCACTAAGTTACTCCAAAAGTGGCGGTCTACAGCTAATCTGTGAGCTTGTAGATAAGAAAACGGGAAGGCAGAGCTTCGGGTGGGAGGTAACCGGGAGGACTCTTAAAAGCCAGTGCCAAAGTAGCTTGGTACACTGTTCTGTCCAGTTGACTCGCCTCCTACCTGGCCTAAAGTATGTGTCAAGCAACAGTTCCGTTCTATGGTAGTCGGATGGGATCGAAGAATGTGCCCGAAAAGCTTCAATTGTGCTTTGTGGATGTGGTGTGTCAGGGGGTGTTGCTTTGTGAGGGCGCGAGCCTCCTGGTTGGTGTAGGTGCGGGCTGTTGGCTGCAAGACTTGCGTGTAATAGGTGCTCTTGAGGTGGAGGATTTTGCGGACGCACTGTGAGTGGAATGCCTCCAGTCTGTTGTAGTTGCCAGTGGTGAGAGCCGCTGATTCTAACCCATAGGTGACGAATGGGATGAAGACTGCGTTGTAGATTCTGAGCTTCCACTTGAGTGTGAGGTCGGTGTTGCGCCAGAACTGGTGTAGCGAGTGGAAGTGCTTTCACGCCGTAGGCAGGCGAGTGGTAACGTCCTTGTGTGCTGATCCGTCGCTGCTGAAGATGACTCCAAGGTACTTGGAGTGCTGCTCGATGGTAACAGGTGTACCGTCTGTGAAGGTGATGGTGTTGTGTGAGGTTCGTGAGCGTAAAAGAATGCACTTCTTGGGGTTGAGGGGCAGGTTGCCGTGGGAGGCCACTGTTTGAAGAGTGTGGAGCAGCTGCTCTGCTCTGGTGGCCGTGCCTGCTAGTAATGCTGTGTCGTCGGCGTAGGCAAGGTCGTAGAAGGGCTGGCTTTGGCTATAAAGCCATGGAAAGAACTCGCCGTTGGCTGTGAGTTCCGCATCCACATCATGCATAATCATCCCATGTACCACCAGAAAGAGGTACGGTGAGAGTGGACATCCCTGTCCAATGCCCGACTGCGCTGTTTCCTTGCTGCTGCTGCGGCCGGCTGCTGCCGCCGTACACTGTGGGGAAGTGTAAATGTTTTTGATGACTGTCGTGAAGTGTGGAGGAACACCGAACCTGTCGAGCGCAGTGAGAACATGTGGGTGTATGTTGTCGAAGGCTTTTTCCCAATCCAAAAGATGGTGTATAGGGACTGCCCTGTAGCTTACGCTCGATCAGGCGACGGATGATGTGTATTGGCTGTGAGGTAGATCTCGCTGCTCTAAAGCCAAATTGTGTGTCTCGGAGTCGGTCGTCGATGGCCGTCTGCAGCCTTGTGTGGAGCATCTGGGCGAAAAGCTTATATAAGGTGCTGAGTAGGGAAATGGGGCGGTAGCTGGCTGGGTCTGTGAGTGAAACTTTGCCTTTGTAGATCGCGACAACTATGGCTTCGTGCCAGTCGACGGGAATGGTGGCTGTGAGCAGGGATTGGTTGAGCACTCTGAGAAGTGCTTGTTGGTTGTGCTGGTCTAGCCACTGCCAGGCTTCAGCGGGGATGGTGTCTGGTCCCGGTGCTTTGTCATGCGCTAGCTGCTTAAGCGCTTCCTGAAGCTCTTCCGTGGTGATGGGGTCCAAGTCGACTGGAGCCGGTGGGGTCCACGTCGACTGGAGCCGGTGGGTGTATGTGGTCTGTGGGGCCCGAGTACCGGGCGGGTGGCTCTGCCCAGTGTGAGTCACGCAGGTTATTCTGCGAACGTCTGAGCTTGCTGGGTCTGGCTGGTGGGTTTGCCTTGGGAGTCCCGTATCGAGACCGGTCGGGGCTTGTACTCCGAGCGCACCCCTTTGATCCACCGCCATTTTTGCCGTAGGTCCAAGGTGGCCTCGCTTTCTGCCAGGCGGTCCTTCAGCCACTGTGTTTTGTCTTGGCGGGCTTGCTTGCGGATGTCTTTGTGTGGCTTTGCCTCTTCGTCTAGTCGCTGCGAGGCTCTTGCCGTGGACCGCTGTTGTATGAGGCTCCAAGTGGCCTGTGATATCCAGGGGTGCTTCGGGACCGAGCTGGTTGTGGGGATCTGTTCTTTGATTGCTTGCGTGGTGGCTTGCTGTAACTCTTGCCAGAGCAGGTGGGGCTGCTGTTGCAGTGGGAGATGTGGAGAAGATAAGTGATGTGTGATTTGCTGCCAAAATCTGTCTCGAACTGGCTGTTCTCTGTGGTTGTGTGGGGCGTAGACGGCCATGATCTTCAAGGGGGCCTCCACTGTGTCAATGGTGAAGTATAGGAATCTGCCGTCAATGAAGGTGAGGTCTGTGATGGCTGGTGTGAGGTGGGGGGCTGTGATGAGAGAGACCCCGGTGAAAGTTTGGGTGGGCTTGCCTTTGGAGTCATACTCCTCGGTGGCGCTGTGAGTGATGGTGTAGCCGTCGATCATAAATTGATCGGGCTGCTTCATATGTCTCTGCAAGGGCCAGTCAACTCAATTTATGATGGCGCATGACCTGGATCAGCGTGTGAAGCTGGGCAGCTTCAAGGAGGCCCGTGGTGTTCCAGAAGGCTCCGCGGAGAGACTGCTGTGGCTTTGTTTGAATGTCGTGTTTGGCTTGTTTTTTTTGGCTGTGGGCTGTGAAATGTGAGTCTTGGACCAAGTGTGCTCTGGTGTGTGTTCTGTTGCGCGTGTCGTGTCGCTGCTGCCATTGTTGCCTGTTGCTCGGGGATGACTGCGGGTCGGTGCGGAGGTGGTTGGGGGTGCTGTTGTTTTGCGGGGCCTTGTGCTTGAGCTTGAAGGTGCATAACAGAAAGTTTCTGAAACGGTGGCATCGGTAATGTTGGTGGCTGTGGGGGTTGTAGATGCTGTTGTGGCTCATTGGTGGTTGCTGCTTCTGTGGTCGTGTGTTCTCAGGCTGTAGCCGCCGATGTGAGGGAGCGCGGCAAGTGAGGCCGTATAAAGGCTTTGAGTGGGGCCGTGTCGGGGAGCCCGTACCCCGAAACCGCGCTGGAGTGGTGGATTCTGAAAATGAAGAGAGCCAGCCGCGGTATTCGCGTCGGCGTCGTGCTCTGTGTAATGCGGGGCTGGGCTCGATGTTGTCTCGAGTCCCTGCTGCGAAGGTGGCGCTTGTGCTGTGAGAGAGTGTTGTGAGGGTGTGTGTTGTTGGCTGGTGGAATGGTGTGGTGGAGGTGGTGATGGTGCACTTCGTCGCCGAAAGGCATATTCCTCAATCCCGAAAAATCGACCTAAGAGCGGAACTGTGAGAAATATATTTACAAAGGATTTGAGCTTGGGGATGGCTCAGCGCTCCCGACTCACCTATGAGAGGAGTGATTGCATGCATGAAACAAATTCGCTAAAAGGAGCCCTTACCCAGCTGAACGTTCTAGGTATAGCTCAGACTTGGGCACGCCCTTGGAGTTAGTAGACTTACCAAGAGGGTCTTTGGCTCAAACTTCGGCAGCTTGTGCGCAGTTGCATAAAGCAGCGTTCAGGTTGAGCTTTGTGCTGCACATCAACATGTGCATGTCAATGCGAAAAATCGCGCGACCCCAAACATACCACGCAAGTCCCAGCTTGAAGTCTTGAAATCACAGAAATGCTACTGCGGACGCAGCCGCGAAGGCTCAGAATCTCCAGACAAGTATCTCCTGATCCCTGAGGACCCGTAATCCCGCACCGCCTCCGGTGGCATCATCATCCCTAGCGGATGGCCCCTGACATGCAGTGACGTAGTCAGCAAACGCTCGCTTCATTCCTATAATCTACAACCTGGGCACAAGACCTCTGCTACACTTCTGGAAGTCATCCGTTGAAGATATTTGCCGATCTTCACCTTTTCACCTAAAAGCCCCTCCTGAAGTCTGAAGCTGGGCGCGAAGCATACCCGGAGGCGGGAGATCTGGGCCGCCATATCCCAGGCCCTTCCCTCCGAACTGGGCCTCGGGACGGCTCCGGAGCCACGAAAGGGCTTAGGCTCGGATCTAAGACTCGCCCAACAGTTTCGCTTCTGCAGCGACCGATACGAACACCACGGCTCTTGCTCCTGCTGCTGCAGCGGCAGCAGCAGTAGCATTAGCAGTAGTAGTAGCCGTAGTAGCAGTAGTAGCAGTAGCAG